ACCAATTTGACAATAAATTTCATATATAAATAAAAAAAAAATATTTTCAAGATAAGGTATGAAGAATAATGCCATAATGTGCACCAGTAAAAAGAACATTACTACTACCTTTTAAGTGCCCTGAATCTCCCTCCCTACTTAATTTCTTTCCTTTTCTTTCAAAGGTAGCAATTACTTTGAAGTTTAAAAGTTTATCATTCTCTTCTTACGTTTATGATTTCTCATGTTATATCAAAATTGTGTATTATTTAAGTTTCATGTTTTGAATTGTTTATGAACAGGATACACACTTTATGTGTTTTTCTGTGGCTTGCTTTCTTCAAACAATAGAATATGCTTACAACGTATTTATACAATGGTGTATAACTGCAAGCTCATTCATTCTCATTGTTATAGAGTATTAATAGCTCATGTGACTATATTACAGCTATTTGTCCATTCTACTAATGATGGCAAAAAAATGAAAACCACTCAATTTTTCCATTACAAAAAAATGCTGCTGCGGATAATTTTATAAGTTTCCCTAAAGCATTAATACAAGAGTAAATGGGAAGGAAGAACAAAATTCTCATTTTTTCCACGACTGGTATTCCTATACAGAATACCCAGGTTCTTTTGAAAATCTGATTTATGTCAGATACAGCTAACAATCATATTCATTTATTAAGGATGGTTTTGTCAATCAATGGTGCTTGATGATCCAAATTTACTAAATACAAAGGACAATCTTGAAGAGATATTTACACACTCACAATCATAGCAGTATTATCCACAAGAGCCAAAAGGTGCAAGCAACTGAAGCATCCATGGATGGATAGTGGATAAATAAAATGTGGTAGAAACATACAATGGAATGTTATTCCAGCCTTAAACAATTCTGTCACAGGCTATAATGCGAATGAATCTTGAGAACATCATGCTAGAAATAAGCTAGTCACAAAAAAGACAAATACTGTATGATTCCACTTATATATCAAAACTGGCCAAATTCACTGAAAGTAGAATGGTGGCTGCTACAGGCTAGAGGGACAGAGTAATAGGGAACCGTTCTTTGGGTACAGAGTTTCAGTTTTGCAAGATAAAAACATTCTGGAGATCTACTGTAGAGCAATGTGAATATACCTAACACTGCTGAATTGTACAACTAGAAACGGTTAAATGTTGTTTTTTACCATAATTAAAAATAATTATTAAAAAATCTTTATCTTAAACTTAAAAATAATACTTGGCACAGAACAAATTCTATGAAAATACCTGCTATAATTAGTAGCATTAATATAATTGTACTATTAAGTTTTAATTTAATCTATTAATTAGTTTTTGTGTGTGTGTGATTATTTCTCTAGTTGCTGTTAAGATTTTTATCTTAGTCTTAGTGTTCTATAATTTCACTACAATTTCTCTTGATTGTAGATAATGGAAACACATAATTTCTAATATCTGTGAATTTATTTTTTTTTTTAAGTTTTATTTATTTATTTTGAGAGAGACAGAGACAGCATGAGTTGGGGAGGGGGAGACAACGAGGGAGAGAGAAATCCCAAGCAGGCTGCATGCTGTCAGCACAGAGCCAGATGCTGGGCTTTAACTCATGAACTGTGAGATCAGGACCTGAACTGAAACCAAGAGTCGGACGCTTAACCAACTGAGCCACTCAGGCGTCCCAGATATCTGCAAATTTAAACCTTTTTTTGGTTCTGGAAAATTATTAGGCATTATCTCTTCAAATGTTTGTCTCCTTTATTTTCTCTAATTTCTAATATTTTCTTCTTGGATATGTACTAGATCTTCTCATTATATTCTCAAATCTCTTTCACATTTTTTTATTAAAAAAATTTTTTTTAATGTTTATTTATTTTTGAGAGGGAGAGAGAGACAGACAGAATGCCAGCTGTCAGCACAGAGCCCAATGTGGGACTTGAACTCACGGACTGCAAGATCATGACCTGAGCTAAAGTCAGACGCTTAACCGACTGAATCACCCAGGCGCTCCCACTTTTTTTATATTCTTTTCTCTGTGGCATTTTGTGTAATTCCCTTTCATTTGTTCAAATCTGATCTACTCATGCATTTGTGTAAAAAACTATTCTTCATTTATAAAAGTTTTGGTTGGTTGTTTTTCAAATATGCTTCATCATCTTGAGTCTTACGTGTTTTCTTTTGTTGTTCAATTCCATCTTTTATTTTTTAAACATTTCATATATACTTTATATTATTTCTGATAATTCCAAGATCTCATTGCTTGTCTCTTGCTGAATTTCATTAAAAGTGATATTACTTGTATGTTAAGCAATCTTTGACTTGGTGCTCATACTTGATGGAATGTTAATTCATTAAAACCTATGGTACCATGCTGGTACCAAAGCATGGAGGATTTACACTGGCCTTGTGCTGGAGACAGAGGGGTATTACCTACTTGATCCCACTTCAGCATCATTCTAAGGCCAGATGCTTAACAGAATTTTCAGGATCAGTTCCCATCTCCCTCACCTTGTAGCTGGCACAATGTTTGTTTTCCAAACTGCAGCACTGCTTATCAGCAGTTGCCCTCAGCAAAATCCTGTGTTTACAGTGCTGACTGCTTACTTCTCAAGGGTCACCTCATGAGGTATGATTTTTATTTTTATGCTGGTTTTCTTTCTTTGAGGTAGGTAGGGGTGGAAGAGAGGGGCACTATATTAGTGATATCTTAGCTGAGTGCCAAGCAATGTATAAAATTTAAACTTGGGGTGCCTGGGTGGCTCAGTCAGTTGAGCAACTGACTTCAGCTCGGGTCATGATCTCACGGTTTGTGAGTTCGAGCCCCACATCGGGCTCTGTGCTGACAGCTCAGAGCCTGGAGCCTGCTTCTGATTCTGTGTTTCCCTCTCTCTCTGCCCCTCCCCGACCCATGCTCTGTCTCTCTCTGTCTCAGAAATAAATAAACATAAAAAAATTTTTTTTAATTTAAACTCATTTTTTTTTTAGTTCATCAAATTGCCAAAAGTGGAAATCCCCACTCTTCAAACCATACCAATCTAGTTTGCACATCTAACACTTGCATGAAATTACTCTCAAAGTTGTAAATAACTTCTAAGTAGCTAAACCTAATGGAATTTTTTGTCATCTACTTAGTCAAGCACTCAGTATATTCAACATCATTAAATGCTCCTCTTTATGATCCATCCCCTTCTCACTTCCATGTCAGCACACCCTTTTGGATTTTTCTAATAGTTCACTGGCTGCTCTTTCTAGTCTCCTGTCTAGTTCCTCTCTCCCCTAACTTAAAA